AGATAGATAGACAGATAGATAAACAGATAGATAGACAGATAGACAGATAGACAGACAAAAAGACAAACAGACAGACAGATAGATAGATAGATAGATACAGTAGATGTTTAGAAAGGTAGAACGACAGATCGACTGATAACAGATGGACGGATAGATAGATAAATAGATGGACAGATCGGTAGATAGATGGATAGATAAATAGGCAGGTAGATAGATAGGTGTGGTGAGGTAGGTAGATAGTTGGATAGATAGACAGGTAGATAGACAGACAGATAGAAAGACAGTTAGATAGATAGACAGATACACAGGTACTCAGGATCTTACACCTGGGCATCTTGGTTTTGGGCACAATCACTCGGAGCTCCTCATGCGTGCATTGATGCCCGACTTATTCGGGAACGGAGTAAGAGAAACGACAGGACATACAGCGAGCTGACACTGACGTGTAAAGGAACTAACACGTCCATACACTGTCCATGAACCAACCATGCAGGATATCATGTCACAACAACCCCCCAATGAGATACCAAACTCCTCAAGTGTCCCAGGTCTGGAATGGTGGTTCCTCGAAGCACTTCGAAGCTTTAAACCCGCAAATCCAAAGCCCTAACTACACCCTAAAGCCCGAAGGTTGGGATCCCACCTGCATTCGGCACATCAGTCGGAAGAGGCTTCGGATCATGTTCTTGCAGACTTCTTCGGTGATTCCGCCTTGCAGGCACAGCCGCGTCTGGAGTCTTAGTGGGGCATAGTTCTTGACCAGGGTATAGGGTTTTTGGTTGGGGGTTGTGCCCTTAAGAATCTCAGGGTTTGAAGATTGAGATTCCCGTGGCAATAACTGCAATCATCCCAGCGCGACCGTCACAAACCGCCGGTATAGGCCAGAAGGATGAACCAGAGCAACACAGGCATTATAGATGATCCTGAGTGTGACAAGGAACACTGGGATCGCACTTAAGTAGACTTTACTGTGATATAGCTTCATATGATCGTATATGGAGTCTAAACCCCAAACCTAGCAAGCCGAGCCAAAAACTACTGAGATACGCAAAAACAACGCAACACTTCCCTGCTTCCGCCGACGTAATTACCCGAAACCCGAGCCCCAATTAAACCCGGCATAGAAACATTATGCACTTGCTCGGAGAGAGAGGTGACAAGAAAGAGTCCTCCAGATAGCATCCAGCGGTTGATTCCGCGAAGAAGCTGTCGAAAGCTATCGTCCTGAGACTCGAGAAAGTAGGAGAGCCATCATGGATGCATGCGCGGGGTCTTCCTGGATTGCTGAAAGTTCCGCGTAGAATAACTAAAATCGAACAGCTCCCGTCTTCCGAGCTGCACCATGTGGTATTGAATTTTTGTCCGACCACCGCTAGTCAAAGCCTTAGCACTTGAATAAGTACCTGCACAAGTTTCAGAGCATACGGGACTTCAACACATCAACTGGACAATTCGTATCTTCAGGAGTAGCCAAGTGCAGAGAACATCAAACTATGTGGCCAGCTAGGGGAGCATGTTGTACCGATTCGGAACTATGCTACTGTAGTTAGTTCTTCCTACTTCTACGCTTAACAGTAACTGTCAAAAGCCGCAAGAAAGTCTAACCATAAGTTTCAACAAACACTCATATCATGATGTAGGGTAGCTTTGGAAAGAATCCGCGAAAACAACACCTGCTACACATCCAACGAGCTTAAACCCGAGCCCACCTTCTCCACATAACCTCGACACTCCTCCCAAGGAGGTCGGCAGGCAATGTCAGAATTCCCCCTCAAGGTTATGCTTGAATATATCTATGTACACTGCAATATGTTTCATACCATGTACACACAAGGCCGAGAGGTCAAGCCGGAAATACCATGCCCTTGTCGATGGACTGCCTTCTGCATCAGCCAGAAGAGCGGATAAACCAAAAATCCTACTGGCTTGCATAATACAGGGCCTTAATGATTAGAATAGGGTTTTGGGCCCGCCCATTATACTATATTTAGAACAAGGAACCCCCAAAATAGTGTTGGTAATTCTTTCGGCCCCTACATTAAAGCAGGATCTTCTCCATCAGCTGTGTAGGAAAGCTCGCCATGCTCACATCCCGCATCAGAGTCACCATGAGCCCAACATTAATGTAGGGGCCTGAATAATTAGAATCGGGTTTTGGGGCATATTATGCTATAATTAAATTACGGAACCCCAAAATAGTATAGGTAATAATTACAGTAAGGCCCCAGCATTGCTAGGCTTGCATAGAACCACGTCCCCAATGCTAGATCCTACCAGCACAACCACCCCGTAACCGGCCATATTGCCAACCCGTAATATACGGGCCTTCATAATTAACTAGGGTCTTGGAGTAGATTATACCATAACTATGATAAGAAACCCCCAAGATAGTATTGGTAATTATTTAAGCCCCTACCCATAGGCCCTAAAGTAGTTCCTTTTTGGGGTTCATATATAGAATCCTAGAAGGTAACCCCAAAAAGGAACTACTATGGGGCCTATGGGTATAGTATCCCTACGCCCTTACAGTAGCAGACCTGAGCCCTCCGTGCCCGTGCGGATACCAAAACTCAGCTGCGGACAATGGCAAGGCCGGACAGCGCTGCGACAGCCTGCTACTGGTAACAAATGAAGAAGCAAACTAACGAACAAGTACTACACATTTATGTGTGCATATATATATGTATATATATATATATATAAATTTGCTTACCTACACAGTATTAGTCACCACAGTCAAGCATAATATGATACTGGTGCAGTTCATAAGGGCACATCACTGCACTGGTAAGTTCAGATCATGATGGTAGTGATGATGGTGAACATGAGGATGGTGACGATGATGGTGATGATGATGATGATGACGATGATGATGCTGACCATGATGTCCTTGATGATGATGGTGGATGATGATGATGATGATGACACAGAGCCCTAAACTCCTCAACCCTAAGCCCTTATAGAACCCTTATAGACCCCTTATAGACCCCTTATAGAACCCGGTGCGCCTGTGGCGACTCCATGTGGCTGGCTGCGCGGCGGTGGCCAATGGTCTGCCCGGCTCGGTTGGACTTCAGGGTTTAGGGTTCAGGGCTTCTAGAAGGGTACTACACGGCTTCTAAGAGGTTGCCACAAGATTTAGTGTTTGTGAGGGTTTGGAGTTTAGGGCTTTGGGTTTAGGGTTTTGGTTTCGCGGCACACAGAGCAGCGCTCAGCTTTTTGTCACGAGAGTGCTTTAACCTTTGCTGCTTGTTGTGGCCAGCCCAGTATATGTTGAGTTTGTGCTCAGAACGGGACCCGGAACTGCTGAATAAGCGTCACTCAGCTCAATGCAGAGTTTGCGCACCTTCAGCTTGTCGGTGATGGGCTTTGCCATGGTACTGTGGGGTGCACCGGCCTTCACGTCCGTCCTCAGAACGGAAGGGGGACGCCTGCCGCATCTCCGAGGAGTGAGCCATGCAAAGAGCGATGGATTGTCATGCATGGGCGGCACAGCAACCACGGTCCTTGCGACCAGCTTGCTCACGCTGGGCACTTTGGTGGCCCGTTCCAAGACTGCTCGTGCTGCCGTCATTGAGAAAGACAAAGCTGGCAGGTTTCGCTTTGCAACCTCTGCGGGGTCTGCAGCTGCAGTGCCGGGATCAACGGAACTCGTGTTTGCTGAGCAGCCTGGTGTAAGTCAGCCTTGGGGGTTCTATGATCCCTTGAACTTTTGCAAGAGTGGGCTGATGACTTTTCCTAACCAGGATGACCCCACTGGGTTCCAGCACCTCCGAAATGCCGAACTGAAGCACGGACGCTTTGCAATGATGGCTGCCACCGGCTCTTTGTTTGCCTGCTATGTGAAGTTCCCAGGGTTTGAGAACGTGCCGAGTGGTCTTGCAGCCCTCAACACCGCAAAGGGTGCAGAGGGCTTTGCGCTGCTGGTAGGCTTGATCGCTGCGCATGAGATTGCAACCTGGAGCCAAGATGAAGAGCCCGCGAGCTATGCTGGCCTTCGGAATTCAACGCCTGAGTTGGTGACGAAGGAGCTAAACAACGGGCGCCTGGCAATGTTTGCTTTCGCAGGGCAAATTGTTGCAGAGATGCTCACTGGACAAGACCCCTCGCAGCAGTTCCTGGCATGGGCCTACAGCTATCCCAAGTTTGTTTAAGAGGCTAATCTAGGGGCCTTAACAATCACCTGTATTATTTGGGGGGTTTCTTTGTGTAATTATAGTATAATAACCCCCCCAAACCCTATTCTAAATAGTTTAAGGGCCCCTACATTACTTCTGCACATTTGGATACATGTATGCTTCAGGCGACAAGTCCAGATATCATTCCGCTACAGTTCGGAAATTAATTCGCTCACTGCGCTAACTGCCGGTGCGTTGTGCCTAGAGGTGCAAAGGACTTTTAACTTCAGATGTGGTGACTTGTCAAGCCGATGATTTGTGTGGGCACCCACCTGTACAGATGTGAAGGATCGTTCAAAGGCGGTGGCGGCTAAGCAAGGTCCTAAATCGCAACTTTCCTGACCGTGCAGAACCGGACCGTCCATTCTAGACAATGGGTCCCAAATCCCTAAAATCCTAAACCCTACACCCTAAACCCCAAATCCCGAAGACCCACTGTGACAGGTGATGGCAGGAGAACCCAGAGGAGGCACGCTGCAATCGAAGACCGTGAGCCTCAAGCCAAAACCCTGCGGAGGTTGGGCAACGTGCTGCGCGAGAGAGCTCTACAACGACTTCGTCCCCACCAGCCTGACCACGGCATCGCCTTGATCGTTCTCATTCTCGCGGCTAGGGTAGCTTCCGGGTTTCGGGTAAGGTTCTACGCTAGGTTAACTTTGGGCCCAGGGTCTTCTAGAAGTCCAGTATCTGTGTCTCAAGGCAAAACTTCCTGCCGACGCTGCCGGTTGCCGGGTGGTGGTGGTCGGCGATGGGGCGGTGGGCCACTCGACGGCACAGAGCTGCAACAAGAGCAGTGAGCGTAGCCTAGCAGCAATAGAAGGCATAGCCGCAATCTTGATAGCAACAACTGCTCTCGTGCATCTACTTGTGATATCTTGTGATGAGGTCCTTGAGATTTTTTGCGAGGTCTGACGTTTTGAGGATAATAGTACGAATTGCCGATTTAACGCTTCTGTTCGAGGGTTTTCAAGTTCGCGTCCAGTGCTGAGGGGTTTCGTTGTCTTCAGGAAACCTAGGCTGAACCTTGGAGCTACCAGAAAGCTGAATTCCCCTACAAATACGGTACCCGAGCGAACAAAACGTGAACCACAAGAAGCATATGAGTATGCCTCCTGAAGGGGCTATAGGGCTCGGGTGGGTAAAGCACTTTCTGAAGGTTTGGGGTGCATGCTAGATGGGGGGTCATGCTCAGCTTGGTGGATTACTTCGAGGATTAGGGGACTTAGTACATAGGGTTTTAAGTGCCCTAATTGGGTTCATAGATAGTGACAGCTACAGTTACCCTACTGAAAGCCCTACTTCCGAAGTCCCGCGATCCTTTAAGTAGTTTTTAGGGATTGGGGTCCTGGTAGTCGAAGTTCCAAACGCTTAATTACCCCTAAGCCCTAAACCCTCAAGGCCCCTACATTCTGCCCTGTCGGGAGCTCTTCGAGGTTCGGGCTTCGGGGTGTTGGGACTCCAAGCCGAGCCCTAAGCCCTGATCCTTTCAGTGGTTCCGGTCCGATAAACTTCTAATATAAGGGTTTAGGGTTTAGGGTTTAGGGTTTAGGGTTGAATTTCTAATATAAGGGTTAAGGGTTTAGNNCCTAAACCCAGTTCCAAACGGGTAGCTGCAGTCCTCGCATCCGTTCTGGAAAGCTGGCACAGAACAGTGAAAGTCGGACTTTGGGGTTCAGGGTTTAAGGAGTTAGGTAGGGTTTAGGGTGAAGGATTAGGGGTTTAGGGTTTAGGG